ATCTCCCCAAAACCCCAAAACCCCAAAACCCCACTATGCAAAATCAACTGAATTTAATTGAAGTCAATAATAAAGTAAAGTAAATTGCATCTCACAATTAAATAATTAAGGCAATTTCCACCCAATTATTTTGATTGCTTTTTTGGAAACCATATTTATTTTTAATTTAAGTGGACATTACATATATTAATCTAGACATAAGCTAGATAATTGTTTAAAGTTATAGCAATTGAATAGTTGCCTATATAGCTAGCTCAGTTATATCAGTATTTGGCATCTTTCATGAAAAGATTTATTACAACGTTATTAGTGTGATTAATTACGTACTAAGGATTTTTCTTTAATTATTGAGTTGAGGAGGACATAATCATAGCACCGATTTTTTAATTACTAGTTTTTAATGATGTGATACTATCACTTTTTTACCAAGCATACTTTTTCTATTAATTAAAAGGAGTCTATGAAGATGCATTTGAACCTTCTCTCTTGAAAGGTTAATCCAATTTCAAATTCTTTGAATGATCATTATTACTATTCTCAGGCTCTACAAAAACAGGCTAATCTATTATAGGCTCATCTTCTAACAGCTTTAGCTGATGTGAGCTTACCATATTAGACTAAATTCTTGTCATCTAATTACTAAGTGCATTAATATCTATATACTATGGTTTTAATTTATTATTAATCTCATCCTCAATCTCTTAAATCGTAAGAGTTTGACTTTTTTTCATATTTTATAACCGTTTTTTGGGCGATTTTTCAGACATTTAATCTAATATATGTGGCCATAATCCAGGTTCACTTAGTGTTTATCTGAAAAATTCATCAACTGTCATTTTAGAATAAAAAAGAATATAGGCCTCCTTTGTAACCACTTATTCATCATCCTTTATCTTTTTTACCAACTCATCATCAAAGTAATACCACATCTGGTTATTTCTATGCTTAGTATATGAAAAATAATGACCCCCACTAAGATATCCTTCGTGATTCTAAAATAATTGTTTCATATTAATACTCTTAAAATCTTACTGCTACTCCAAATAAATCATAAATAGGTTTTTCTCTCTAAAGTTTTGAAACATAAGGGGTGAGGTCCAAATTTATCAATGGAAATTCTACGAAGTCATTGATTTTCGCTTTCTTTTTCTCAGTGAACTCAAACCTTTTTAAATGGATTATCAATATTGAAGGAAGCTTCCATATGTCTATTTTCTTTGTCGCCCTTTAAAATTTATTGCATTTAGGGCATTTCCACTTGTTTTGTCCATCAAGAATTTCCTCTTTAGTAAACTCTTCCACACATTCCTCCAACTTAGGATCTTAAATTTAAGTTTTGGGGATCGGAACTGAGAGAAACATAAAACTATCAAATTTGATGGACATATGTTGGCATCCTAGACATTTTAAAGTAGACTTTAATTAGCCTTGAAATAAATCTACTATTATCGACCTATTATTAAACAAATGGTCCTTCCAAGCTTCACATGCTAAATATTCTTATTACTCTTCACTAGGTTCTGTGTTCAAAAGATCTTCCTCAGATTCTTGTTTTTGCTAAAGAAGTTTATTCAGTTGCTTTTCTTTTTACTCTTTTAGAATTTGTAATTTATCTGCTCGATTAAGATCTTCATGCATTGAGTCTAAGATATAAGCTAGGAATTCTTAAGCATCTTGTTGCATTCCACAAACCAACTATAAAATTATAAGTTGATCACCGTTTTATTACATGTGGAGCGTGATTACCCAGCGCCTTTATTATCTAGGCAGGATAGATTTTGTCTTCCTTTCCTGACCATATATCTTTTATAAGATTTCCATACTTCAATGTTACTTCTCCACCTGTTCCCATCGGATTTGTTTGATTTAGTAGTTACTTGTACAAATCTCCAATAAAAAAATCTGTTAAAGGCTGTACTGCACTCAGACATTGAATTGCTGTATTTAGGAAGCATGTGTTGCCCATATTATATAACCCAGTGAGTCCAGCATCTAGTTTTATCTTTCCACCTACTGTTGAAAAGGCGACTCCATGATGAGTTTTGAAGTTATTAGGTATATATATGTACTCAGATTCCTTAGCAACATCTTCCGCCTATGATATATTTATTGCACTAAACTTGTGCTGCAGCTCATTATCATTATTGTTGAAAACTGGTTACCCCTTTTTAATTCTCTTTTTCCTGTCATCCTTGCCTGTTTTCAAATTCAACTTAACCATTGGTCTTTTTTTGCTATTGGACTATTGACTTAATCGGATGATGTCAAGTGGGTCTACCTTACTTACCTTTTTTGGTATATTCAATTTCTAGGATGAGCGAGAATCACTCTAAGAAAGCTTTATATCATTTGATACTTTCTAATCAATGATTATTTGGATGAAAATATCATACCTTTGAGTTAGGTTTCCTTGGAAAAGATAGGCTATCAGAATCTTAATTGAATTATTATGACTTTCTCAAGATGATTTCTTTTTTTGTCAATGGCTTTTTATCGAAATCACTTGGCTTTACTTTGTTCAATGAATCTACAAATTAGTTTGAAATAGGAAAATATAATACTTTATTTAGTCGTACATTGGCCCATTCTTAATTATAATGATTTAAATATATCACAAAATAGCAAGCTAATAAGACAGCTTCTTCAATTTATTATAAGCACTATCTCTATTGTCAATCTTGTATTTTATTAATATTTGAAATAATTTTCTTCAAAGCAATGCAAATTTGTTTATGGGGTTTTGGGGTTTTGGGG